TTATTTATTTTTTGACAGGCATTAGTTAGACAGTGAGAGAGAGAGAGAGAGACAGAGAGAAAGGTCTTCCTTTTCCATTGGTTCACTCCCCAAATGGCCGCTGTGGCCAGCACACTGCACTGATCTGAAGCCAGGAGCCAGGCTCTTCCTCCTGGTCTCTCATGTGGGTGCAGGGCCCAAGCACTTGGGCCATCCTCCACTGCCTTCTGGGGCCACAGAAGAGAGCTTGACTGGAAGAGGAGCAACTGGGACTAGAATCCGGAGTACCGGCACCACAGGTGGAGGATTAGCCTATTGAGCTGGGGCACCAGCCCAGAACATGTATATTTTCTATGTTATGATCTTATCAAGGCTAGCCATGAAATCCAAAGAGAGTGTTTTCTCACTAGGCATATCTCTGCTACCAAAGTATCTTTCTGGTTTTATAATCCAAAAAAAAGCTGTGATTTTACAACCCACAACTCAGAACTACTACAAAATTCTTTCTGTGTTTGAGTCCATTTTATAGCTCAGCAGATCTCCTTTTTACCAAGTAAAATAATTTGAGGAGTCAAACTATGTTGCTTCTGGAAAGCCTACCAACTGTCAGTCTTATTTCTTGGTAGCAACTGAGGTACAACCCAATGAGTCTTTTTTATAAGACTTTTTCCCAGTCTACCCAAGGTCACTGGATCCTAGCATAATTACTTACATGAAAGCTTGAATCTTGGTACAGCTTACCTCACACATACTTAGACAAGCTTATTGAGGTACGCAATGTATTGTTTAGATCTAGCCCATTTGGTATAACTCATATGGTGGCAGTAATTGAGTGGAATGATGTGTTTTTTACAATACTGGGAAATGAAGTTTTACTATAAGAAAAGCAAATGTTTTTGGTTATAAATATAGTTGTATTATTTGATATATAAGAAGGTATGTTATTTATTTGAAGCTTACATTTGGTTTAAGGACATGTTATGAATTCAGTATTGATAAGGAGACCATTGTAATCAACAACTCAACTTAGTCAACTTAGTTGCACTGTTGTGCTGAGTTTGGCAAAATTCTGTTATTGATGCACTGTGTAGACATTTTGTAGATGTGATTAACATCTGCCATCAACTACCTAAGGAGATTATACTTGTTAACTTAATGCAAATTTCTCTATTAAGAACCCAGAGTGATACAATAAATGCAGACAAGAAAATATAAAATAAAGTTAGTAATATGCATATCTGCATGCTCTCTGAGAAATGGAATGTGGACATAAAAAAAAAAAGTTTAAGAGTTTTCCTTATAGTAGAACTCGATGACACTGAGAAAACAAGAACAAATTCAAGGAAAATTTACTTCAGAAGACAATAGAAGGTGGAGGAAGAGAAGGTGGGAGACCCCAGACCACTGGAAAGTGGAGAAGAAAGAAAGAGCAGTTCTGAGTCAAGCCACTTGTCAATAAGATGCCTGGGCTCCGTTTAAGTATCAGGTCTTTTCCAAGGTTTCTGCCTGCTCAAAAACTCACATTTTTATCATGGCATCAGCCCTCAGCTCCTGATTCTTGTAAACCAGTTTTTAAGAGTTGCCAAATTTAGGAAATAAAAATTCAGGTGCCCAGTTAAATTTAAATTTCAGCTAAACATTGTGTGATACCAAAATGTCCCTTTTTTTAAGATTTAGCTATTTTACTTGAAAGTTACACAGAGAGAGAAGGAGAGGCAGAGAGAGAGAGAGAGAGAGAGAGAGAGAGAGAGAAAGAGTCTTCTATCCCCTGGTTCACTCCCCAGATGGCTGCAATAGCTGGAGCTATGCTGATCCAAATCCAGGAGCCAGGAGCTTCTTCCAGGTCTCCTACATGGGTTCAGGGGCCCAAAGACTTGGGCCATCTTTACTGCTTTACCAGGCCATAGCAGAGAGTTGCTATGTTGCAGCTGGGTCTTGAATTGATGCCCATATGGGACCCTGGCACTGCAGGCGGCAGCTTTACCTGCTATGCCACAGCACCAGCCCCTAAAAGGGTTTCACTGTTCATCTGAAATCCAAAAGTAACCAATGTCCCAGTTTCATCCAGCAGCCTACAGTACCAAGGCAATCCTAGTGGACACATTCTTATAAACTCAGGTATTGGGCTCAGCCTTTATTGCTATTTTCCAACCACCTATGGTGCCCACCTCAGGGTTGTGAAGACGGAAATCTTTAAGTCACAGAAGCACTTGTAACTGAAGAGTCAATGTTGGGTCTGGCTTTCCCCAGAGCCTCTAAGCTCTTCTCTTAATTGAGATTCCACTGGGCTCAAATTTCTTTCTCTTCCACATTTGTTTTTCTTAACTCCATGCACCATACTCCATCTCAATTTAAATATCAAATATTTTTTAAAAGATAGCTTATGTGTCTTTTTCTTAAAAATGAGTTTATGGGGCTGGCACCATGGAATAGCTGGGAAAGCTGCCATCTGCAGTGCCGGCATCCCATATGGGCATCAGTTCAAGTCCCTGCTGCTCCACTTCCAATCTAGCTCTCTGCTATGGCCTAGGAAAGCAACAGAAGGTGACCCACACAGAAGTGGAAGACCCAAAAGACCCCAAAGCTCCTGGTTCCTAGCTTCAGATCAACCTAGCTCCAGCCATTGCAGCCATTTAGGGAGTGAACCAGAAGATGGAAGATCTCTCTCTCTCTCTTTCTCTCTCTCTTTCTCTCTGCCTTTCTGTAACTCTGCTTTTCAAATAAAAAATAAACAAAACTTAAAAAGAGAATGAGTTTATGGGACTGGTGCTGTGGTATAGTGGGTAAAGCCAGCACCTGCAGTACTGGCATTCTATATGAGCACCAGTTTGAGTCTCTGCTGCTCCACTTCTGATCCAGCTTGCTGCTATGGCCTGGGAAAGCATTAGAAGGTGTCCCAAGTGCTTGGGAACCTGCATCCATGTGGGAGACCTGGAAGAATCTCCTGGCTTCAGATCGGCACATCTCCAGTCATTTTGACCATTTGCAGAATGAACCAGTGGATAGAAGACCTCTTTCTCGCTCTCTCTCTTTCTCTCCCTCTCTCCTTCTCTGTAACTCTTTCAAATAAAAAAATCTTTAAAATGATTTTATTATTCAATTATTCATATATTTGTACTCTGTATAATGAAAATAAATTTTTAATAATGCTTTCTAGACTGTTGCTAGAGCAGTGCTGTTCAAACCACTTGTAGGAAAGGACAAGCATTTTCTTCAGCACATTCTGGATTGATATTTTGTAAAATAAAGTAAAGTGTAAATTAATTACTAGAAAAATGAAATTTGAAAAGGACAGAAAATATATAATCCTGCTTTTTCATTTTAAATAAGAAGCTCCCACAAAATGAATCATTCCTTCACATGATAATTACCATATTTTATTTTAAAATATCTGCAACTTTTATATTTTATTGAACTCTTTGAATATTTAACTACCTATACAGATTCAATATAATTTTATGGGCTATTTTTAGATAACTTCCATTATCTCCTGTCAGTATTGTTTCTAATAAAGTACTCATTCCTTCTCACAGTAATGATAGCATGTTGCTTTTCAATTCATATTCGCAGCACATTTGAAATTTTTGTTCTTTGACTTTCTACCTACCACCTATATGTATGCATCCTAATATCCTAGTTTAAGTCAGTATTTGCCCAATAGAATGGAGGCCCTCTTACTTGAGTTTTACATTGTGAGGTCACCAGCTTCCTTAAAGTTCTATAAGTTGTCCTGGCAACATTCAAGTACACAGTCTCTCAGAGAGTCCTTAGACTGGGGTAATCATTTACCACTTCCAGGTAATATATTTTGAACATTTTATGGATATTTATGGGACTTTAAATTTCCCTTTAATTGTGAAAGCTAAAGAAGTTGAAGCCTATTCTGGTGCCATTGACTTTGATTTTTCTTGAGTCTTTACCTTTTTAATGTGTTGTAATAGTCAGTTTGTCTCCAATTTTCCATATGTCTTTTATCAATCTATTATATCTGCCACTGGCTTATTCATTAATACTTAATCTCAACATATTTTATTTCAGAAATTATCCATTTTTATGTTACATCTTTCAAATTACTATTAGCTGTTTTTTAATATCCTAGTCTAAGTTTATACTTCCATTGTGAACCTGTGAACAAATTAAATTTTGAATATGAGATCAAAAACCATTATGTTCATATACTTTGAGAAGTCTTTGCATTCCTGATAATTCACAGTATCCATGTAATGAATTTTTAAAGCCATCTTTTCTTGTTTTCTTTTTTAAAGATTTGTTTACTTATTTGAAAGAGTTGCACAGAGGAGAGACAGATATCTGCCATCTGTTGACTTACTCTACAAATTGCTGCAATGGCTAGGTGGGCCAGGCTGTAGCCAGGAGATTCTTCCCACCATCCACATTAGTGCCAGTGGCCCAATCACTTGGTGTATCTTCCAGTGCTTTTCTCAAACCATTAATAGGGAGCTGGATCAGAAGTGAAGCATCAAGGATAGGAACCAGCACCAATCTGGGATGTTTGTTTCACAGAGGAAAGATTTACTTGCTATACCATGATGCTGGCTCCCATGAAACATATTTTTAACTTATCTGAATTTTATGGGACTCTACATTTCCTATCAGTATATGAGAGTTGCAGTAGAATGGGTACAGACATTGGCTTCTTTGAATTTTCTCTGCTAACTTATTTGAGCTTTGACTTCCCTTTTGTATTTTTTTTCACCCATTTTCCTTTTTAGGGTAATTGTAATCATATAGTTTCCAGCCAAATACTTAGATCTACTTGTTGTTCTACTATTGTTTCTCTGAAATGATTGTTTCTTACAGTAATTTGATTTCATAACATCTCTATCTTTATTTAATTTTTTATATTTGTTCTTGTAACTATCACCTCTGTATATATTTTTAAAGCTTTATTTATTTATTTGAAAGTCAGAGTTACACAGAGAGAGAAAAAGAGGCAGAAAGAGAGAGAGAGGTCTTCCATCTGCTGGTTCACTCCCCAGTTGACCGCAACTGCTGGAGCAGTGCTGATCCAAAGCCAGGAGCCAGGAGCTTCTTCTGAGTCTCCCATGCATGTGCAGGGGCCCAAGGATTTGGGGCATCTTCTACTGCTTTCTGGAAACTTTCATGTGCATTTTTCAGAGCCATTTTAGGAGAATCTTGTCATTACCCCACTGAAGGTATCAGAATTCATGGTAATTGTGAATGTTTATGGAACTATAACATTACCTTTTTTTTTTTTAAGAAATGTCTGTAGGTTAGTTCTAAATACTCATATCTTACTGGTGTTTTTATTCTGGCATGTGGTGTTTTCTTTGATTTATATTTCATAAAAAAACTTTCATTTATTTTTCTTTTTACATTAATTATAATAGTATACTTTTAAAATACTTTATTTATTTGAAAGTCAGTGTTACAGCATGAGAGGGAGACAGAAAGTGAGGCTGAGAGTAAGAGAGAGAGAAGGGGATAGAGAAAGATAGAAGAGAGAGATCTTCCATCCTGATTCACTCTTTTAATGCCTGCAATGGCCAGGGCCAAGCCAGACTGAATCCACAGGCCAGAAGACTTTTCCAGGTCTCCCAGATGGATGCAGGAGCCAAGGAATTGATCCAGCATCTATTGCTTTCCCAGCAGGGAATGCTGGATCAGAAGAGGAGCAACCAAGACTGGAACTCTTACCCATATGGGATGCCAGCACTGCAGTGACGTTATGCACTATGTCACAATGCCAGTCCCAAGTCTAGTTTTCAACTGCTTTTTATCTTCTTGTCATTCTATCATTGCTACTAGAAACTTTTCATTTTTTCTTAGTAATCATAGTGTATTTTATTTCAAAGCATCCTTTTTATTTGCTTTTGCATTTGTGTTCATAGCTAACACCTATATATCTCTTTAACTTTGTGCTTTAAGCCAGCCCTAGCACTGTGATGCTTGGTCATCCTGGTTGGCTTTTTCATTACGAGATCATCAACTCAATCCAAATACTACAGTTTTTGCTGGCAGCCATCATGGACACAATTTCAGAGGGATCCTAGATTCATCTGATAATTCTGATAATTCATTCTTGCAGTTAGCAGAGTTTACCTTTTCTGATTATTTGAAACTCTTATCTTCAATTTTGAAAATCTCAACAGAATAGATCTCCATATATTTCCTTTAGAATATGGTTAAATAAGAAAAAAATCAGATTTTTGTGGTAAGTTATATGGCCTTTGAGTTGTCTTTCCTGAGATGCATTTTTTGTTTTCCCTTTTTCAATGTACTTCTATTGGTCTACTTTAGTGTAATGTCTCAAATCTCCTTTTTGTACAGTGTTCCAACTAAAATTACTCAAATCTTCTCAGAGTAATGGCAAATAAATTTTATTTCATTTTAAATTTTTATTACTATAAATGATCAGTTTTCATGCAGTCTGTAGATACAATTTGAGGAAGACAACCATATTCATATATCTCTCTCTCTCCCCTCGTTTCTTCCCTTTTATCTTTAGTTATTGCAATAAGTAATAAAATGTCTGTTACAATCACAGGCTTAATGCACCACTAGCTATAATGTTCAACAAGTAAATAGAAAAACATTATTCCACAGGAATGTAGAGAAGCAATATAAACAATGGTTATATCATGTCAATTTCATTTTTTATGGGTTTTTGTATTCCATATTAAGTAACATATAAGAGAAAATGTGCAATGCCTTTTTTGTCACCGGGTTATTTCACTATGCATAATGGTCTCCAGTTGTATCCATTTTGTTTAGAAAACAGGATTACATGTTTTTTTATGACTAAGTAGTATTCCATTGTGTATATACGCCATATTTTTATTTCATGTTTCCAATTCTTTAGTTTTTATTTGATAATATATGTTTTATCTATATATACTAATATTCTTTTTCAGTGTGACAGCATCATTTATATCAAAGCTGTAAGTTGTTCTGGCAATCTTCATTTACACAAATCTTAGAGCCATGTTAGGTCCTACAAATTATTCACCTTTTGATGATGATTTGTTTAAATTTTTGCTTAATTATTGGGGGAGTTTAAAATACCCAATTGAATACTTCTATGTACTACCCTCTTGCATTTATTATTATTCTCAAAGATGTGATGTTTTTACTTTCCCTTTATTTTTTCTTTATAAATGTAATATTATTTATTTTTCAGCAACTGCCTTTACAATTGTCACTCTATTATTACTCTTACCAGATTACAAATTTCTTCACAAATAGTGATCTTTAAGTTATCATGCACACATATTTTCAGAAAAAGTCTTAAGCCTTCTGATAATTCACCCTTTTGAACAATATATTTTTTATTCTCAATTTTAATAAGAATTTGCTTTAGATTTAAAAAAGAGTTTCAATAGAATATTTGTGTCACATTCTCTTTATTGTTATTCAGGTAAGTGTTGTAATAAATCTTTGATTTATACTTCCTGGAAAAGATTTCATTTGTTTTCCTCTTTTAATGCAATGACAATGGGCTACTTTTAGCACCTTGTCTGACACTGATTTTTCACTCTTTGTTCCTTTATTTATTTGAATACCAGAGTTAAAGAGAAGGAAGGAGGGAAGGAGGGCATGGAAGAGGGACAGAGAAAGAGATAGAAACAGATTGAGAGACACACACACACACAGAGAGAGAGAGAGAGAGAGAGAGAGAGAGAGATCTCCCCTCTGCTGGTTCACCTCCCAGATGGTTGCAATAGCCAAAGCTGATCAAGGCTATGGCTAGGAGTTCTATCTGTCTACCACATAGGTGGTAAATGCCAAAACCCTTAGGCCATCTTTCACTGCTTTTCCCAGGTCCTTAGCTGGGAGTTAGAGCACATGTGGAGTATCTGGTGCCCATATAGGATGATTGCATCAAAGTGGTGTCTTGACAAATTAAACCAAAAAATCAGCCCTTACTATTGCTTAACAAATTCCTATTTTTCTCACAATGATGACAATATGTATTTTATTACACAAATTTTTTAGTTTCTTAAAAAAACTTTTAAGGGCAGAATGTAAAAAGAGAGGGAGAGGTGAAATTCTTTGTTTCTTCACCCAAATAATTGCCACAGTAACTGGGCCTGAAATTTCCTAAGCCAGGATCTAGAAACTCCATCTGAGTCACTCATGTGGATGATAGGAAACCAATTAAATAGGCTAACATTTTCTGCCTCCACGGTACATGAGCAGGAAGCTGGATCAGTAGAACAAAATAGATGGAACCCTAACCATGAACCTCAATGTTTGATGAGGGCATACCCATTGGGGGCTTACTCCACTGCTCCACAACATCTTCCCCCGACATGCTTATTTAGTTCTGTGATAGAGGGTATGACCTTTGTTATAACTATTTTGGAATTTTAATATTTATTTAAATGCCATCTTAATGGTCTGTGCTGCAGTCACTTTGTGTTAGCTCATTTTTATTTCTTCTCAGAAGTTATTTTACCTTCCAGAAATAATAACAGAGCTTCACAATTGCAAGACTTTTTAAATCCTTATTGTTTTGAAATTATATCTAATACCAGTGAATTTTTTCTTAAAGATTTATTGTATTTATTTGAAAGAGAATTATACTGAGAGAGGTAGAGTCAGAGAGAAAGAGGCATTCTATCCACTGTTCACTTCTCAAATGACTGTAATGGCCAGAGCTGGGCTGATCTGAAGCCGGGAGCCAGGAGCTTCTTCTGGGTTTCCCATGCAGCTGCAGGGACCCAGGGACTTGGGCCATCTTCAACTGCTTTCCCAGGCCATAGCAGAGAGTTGGATTGGAAGAGGAGCAGTCAGGAATAGAACTGGCTCCCATA